ATAAAACATCTTTGAAAGGATACATAAAAAAACATTAGTTGCCTCCAATGAGGGAGAGCTGTTGGCTAGGTGACAGGGTTTGGAAGGGGACTTTTCACTTGTCCTTTTGTTTTGTACCTTTTTTCAACTTTATGGAAGTGTAAATTGACAAAAGTTATATGTAGTAAAGGTGTACAATGTGATGTGCCTTTTGAATTTTCAGTCATTCGAATACTTTACTGAGAAAATAAAGTAACTAAAACTCCCATCATGATTTACTTCAAATAACTCAGGTTTTCCAGAATAATGGGTGGGTTTTGGGATTAAATGAAATGGACCATGTGTCAATAATTGCTGAAGGAGAGTGATGGGATATGGGCTTCATTTTCATTTGAAACATGAAATTGCCATTTTTAACTAAAAAATTGTCACATTTTGGCAATTTCACACGGTTTAAGCTAGTGCTGTTCTCATTATTTTTGTAAATTTTCCACAATATGAAAGTTTTCAAATAAAAGATAAAATGTTACCTCCCACCAGGCCTTTGCTAGGACATTCATGTACTTTCTTATCCTGGCTCTTGTATCTCATAATTGAGTGGAAATTCCCATTCCCCAATCAACTTCTCAAACAGCAGCACTGCCTCACTGACTTCCCTTTATTATGGGACCTGGTACTGTTCTCAGGATTTTTCCTATTAACAACAATCTCTCCCCATCCTGTTGTGTTAATTGGATACTACCTTATCCTTATTGCTGGTAAAGCTCATCCTGTTCTTGAAAAATCACTTCGTTAGTTTCTTATGATCACTTCACATTCTCTTCCTACCTCACAGTCTATTATTGGCAATCCTAACTAATATGGAGGTTATGCCCTTGTCCAAGTTACTTATATTTACCAATCTGGGGACTGATGTCTCTTTATTTGTCCAGTGCACCCCAGGTTGTGAACTCCTGTATTAAGGACAGAGACCCTGTCTTCTATGAATATCTCACGCTTACATGGCATCGGGCACATAGTTAAATGCTCAAAATAATATATTTAATTTTTTAAAATTTCAAATACTTTCAACTTTCAGAAAATTGTATATAAAAATGGCAAAAAGAACTTTCACATACCCTTTACAAAGATTCATGTTGCTAGCATCTTATTACCTCTCTCTCTCTCTCTCTTTCTCTCTCTCTCTCTCTCCTCCCCCCCTCTACACACACACACTTTTTTTCTGAAACAGTTGAGAGTAAGTCACAGACATTATTTCCCTTTGCCCTTCAATGTGTTTCCAAGAACAAGGACATTCTGTTATATATACATAGTAAAGTTAGCAAATTCAAGAAATATAACATTGATACTGTACACTATTATATAATATACAGATCATATTCAAATTTTGTTAATTGTCCCAAGAATGTCCTTCATTGCTATTTTATTTTTCTGGTCCATGATCCATTCTAGGATAACACATTGAATTTAGTTGTCATGTCTCTTAATTCTCTGAAGTCTCCTTAAATCTGGTACAGTCTTCAACCTTTCTTTGCCTTTCATTACATCAACACTTTAGAAGAGTACATGCCAGCTATTTTGTAGAACATCCCTTAATTTGGGTTTGCCTGATATGCCCTCATAATGAGAAGTTATGCATTTATGGCAGGAGTAAAACATAAAAAGGTACATGATTGTTGGTGGTGTTAACTTTGATTACTTGGTTAAGATGATATCTGCCAGGTCTTTCCACTATAAAGATACTTGTTTTCACTTTGTACTTAATAACTAATATATGAGAAGATACTTTGAGAGTACATAAATATTATGCTCCACATCAAACTTTCACTCATTTATTTTAGGATCCATTTATGACACTTGCCTGAATCAATTACTATGGTGGTTGCCAAATAGTAAATTTTCAAAATAATACATATGCATTGATTAATATGATTTGTTCATTTGTCCTACAGAAGGGACACCTCCTTCACTAGGACAGCAGCCTCTGGTTGGCTGCAAGAGTGGAGTCTAGGAGACAAGCTAGCAGCTTGGTTCTAAAACACAATGATACTTTGCAGTGATTGAATACCTTGGATGAGGTTGGTTCTCCTGCAAGCCCCTCTGGCCTTTATCATGGCACAAAATGGACTCCATGACTTGCCCAAAATAACTGTTTGCTCAGTAGATCCCATGACTGCCTTCTCTTACTATTTTCCATCAAACTTGAGACAGAGGTGGTAAATGAGTGGGAGGGTACTCTTGCCTTCCATTTTGATTTATTTGAGCAACATAAAATGGAATTCAGTATTCCACACAAGCTTTATTGGCCATTCTGGAGACCCACATTTTTAAGCACCAGGATGAAGGCATCATTTTTTATGTGGATTCACATACAGAAAATGAGGGCACCGTGACTACATGGAGGGCAGAAAGAAGTATGTTGTGGAGCTATTTCTTTTGGGGACTATATTACTTTCCTAGGGCTGCTGTAACAAATGACCACCAACTGGGTGGCTGAAATTTATTCTCTCACAGTTCCAAAAGCTAGCAATTTGAAATCAAGGTGTGGCAAGGCCATGCTCCCTCAGAAGCCTCCAGGAAAGGATCCTTCCTTGCCTCTTCCAACTTCTGGTAGCCCCTGGCATTCTTAGCTTGTGGTTGCATAACTTCAAACTTGGCCTTCATCTTCACATGGTCTTCTTCCTTCTGTGTCTTTGTGTGTTCTCTCTATATATGTGTCTATATCCAAATTTCCCTTATAAGGACATCAGCCATATTGGTTTAGGGCCCACCTTAAAGACCTCATCTTAACCCATTTCCAAATAAGGTCACATTCACAGGTGTCCAGGCTAGAACTTGAATGGGAGCCAATTTAACCGATAATAGGAACCATGTCTGAAGTCCAACCCATTTGAGAACACAAAGTGAAGTGCCATTTTGATATAGTGCATAAGCCCAATATAATAGGGCCCTCTGTCCCTTCTGCTCACTCTGGTCTTGGTTGGCACTGCCAACATGTAAGGAAGGAAACTGAGCAGACAGAACATGCTCAGCCCCCTTGAAATAGACTTTGGACATAATTTTCAAATGATCACAAGTTATTCATGTAACCATTACATAGAAGACAATAATAGAGAATAATCCACAGTCTGTAAGGCTCTGGCCCCTGCATTCTTCATAGAATTCTCATAATTATTATATAAATAGATTTGTCACCATTTGATAGACAGGGAGCATGAGACCCAGTGAGATGAAGTGACTTCCCATAGATCACAGCTACTGATAGGAAATTCCATGCAGAGCTGAGCCATGTCTGTGAAGCATAGAGCCTGGCCCCATGGTAGGCGCTCAGTAAATATTTGTTGGCTGAATGAGTGAATGGATGACTAAATCTGGGACCATAGCTCTGTTTTCATTTCCGGATCCATTACTCTTTCCACTGGATCACACAAATGACTGTAGACTGAAGTATGGTCTCAAGACAATGACTGGAGTATAGATGTGACTTGGTCAATTTCAGATTATTTTTCTATATTTAACTAGAGGCTTGGTGCATGAATTCATGCACAGGTGGGGTCCCTCTGCCTGGCTGGCGTTCGGGGATGATCAGGGCCATCTCACCCAGTCCCTATTGGGGCCGGCTGGCTGAGGGGAGGGACCACGGGAGGTTGGCCGGCCAAGGGAGGTTGGCTGTGGGAATGCACTGACCACCAGGGGGCAGCTCCTAAGTTGAGTGTCTGCCCCCTGGTGGTCAGTGTGCATCATAGCTACCGGCCGGTCATCCAGTCATCCGGTCATAAGGGTCACTTAGGCTTTTATATTATATAGATAACCTTCTGAATTCTGTGCTTATAAGCACATCAGTCTATAATTGATTTTTTTACTGCTCCACATGTGCTAAACTGATCAAGAAGCCAATTTGTCAAGGTTCTTAAGCCACTAATTTTACTTGGACTACATATTTGTCACAAATTACATTTGTACAAAAAAAAATCCTTATCACATGGACAGTTTTATAATAACAATGTATCAAGGAAGTAAAGAATTCAGCATGTTAACTTCATATCTTTGAAATGGAATGTTGATGTTCCCTTATACTTATTTCTGGATCTTCGTTAACATCACTGAAGTAGCCAGGAAAGCTCTATTTAACCTCGCCAACAAGGACTCATTAACCACATGCTGTGTGCCCAACCCTATGCTAGTTACTGTGGTGGTGGGGGACGGGGGTTAGAGATCAGAAAGAACCTCTCTCAAGGAACTTCCAATCTAGTGAGTAATGTGGCCTTCACCTGAGAAACAATGAAGAGAAGGGTTACATTTGCTAAGCACCTGTTAGGTGCCAGAAACTTTACAAACCCTGCAAAGCAGGTATTACTCCCACTTAATAGATGAGCAAACTGCGGGGCAGAGAGGTTAGGACAACTTGCCCCAAATCACATAGCTAGTAGGTGGTAGGACTAGGATTTGAACCTAGGCCTCTGTGACTCAAAATAATATGAGACAGTTTATAGTCAAGTGCTTGGTTTCATGGGCCAGATAAGATGTACTGAAGAAGTTTCAGCCAGAAACTTGGAATCTATGAAAACCAAGATGGGGCCTCTAGGAGATAGTGTCAGGAAGCTGACAGTCTTCAGTAGTGCTCTCTTCCAAATCCCTTTATAAACTGCCCTTACAACCACCTATTCACACTGAAGGGCTCAGGCTCTCTCAATTCCTCTTCTGGTGTACTTGGGGAGGTGGGAAGGAGAAGCTGCTTCACATTTCTACATTCCACTCAAACTGCCCCCTCTCTGAAGCTAGCTGAATTGTTATTCTTCCAAGTCCCTGACCTCCTGGGTCAATTTCTCCATGGTTCTGAACCCCAGAAGCACAGCTCCCTCTGAGCTGAAAGGAACCTCTTTGCTTTGTGTGATGACTGGGTGCCTCTTATTTCAGAACCACAAGACAATTCTCCCTCCTTCCTATCCTTATGCTTCTATTTACATCAAAGGCATAAAAGGAATTTAACATGTTTCTGTTTTGTTTTGTTTTCATGACAGGGAGAAGAGCTGGCTCAGTCAGATGTAGAATCTTCCCAGTCTGCTCAAGGCATTACCAACCAAATAATTGCATTCGAAACATCAGATCTGTTAATTAAAAGAAAAGAAGGGAACATGCATTCTGACTTTTTTTTCCCCAATGAAGAAATTAAGCCCTAACCAGTTTGGCTCAGTGGATAGAGCGTCGGCCTGCGGACTGAGGGGTCCCAGGTTCGATTCCAGTCAAGGGCATGTACCTTGGTGACGGGCACATCCCCAGTAGGGAGTGTGCAAGGGGCAGCTGATTGATGTTTCTCTCTCATTGATGTTTCTAACTCTCTATCCCTCTCCCTTCCTCTCTGTAAAAAAATCAATAAAATATATTAAAAAATAAGTGGAACAACAAAAAACCCCCCTAAAAAAGAAAAGAAAAGAAATTAAGATGGAAAAGAAAAATGTTTCCTAAGTCCATAGTTCTAACTCTCAAGAATCAAGGTGTTATAGTGTGTATGTGTGTGGGGAGGGGAGCGGGGTAGGGTTCTCTCAAAATAAAAATTAGATAAAGGAAGGCTTTTATAGAGCACTTAAAAGAAATGCAGGATTGTGCTTGAGATGTTTTTAACTTTTTATTTTGAAATAATAAAATAAAAAATCTTCTTATAGATTTATAGGAAGTTGCCTAGTCTTCCCCAATGATTACATCGTATGTAAATATAGTACCATATAAAGACCAGAAAATTGACATAGGTACAATGTGTGTGAATAGCTATTTTATTACATGTATAGATTTGTGGAACCATCACCACAATCAAGATACAAAACTATTCCATCCTCACAAAAATCACCCTGGTGTACCTCTTTATAATCACACCCACCCCAACCATCCATGAACTCTGGTAACCATTAATTTGTTCTCCATCTCTATAATTTTGTACTTTAAAGAGTACAATTTGCTTAAGAAAGGATTGGCACCTCTAGTTTTCATAGAATCTCAGGCTTGAATTAGTGAATTCTCCAGCCCAATCTTCCTTCCCATGCCCAGATTCCCTCTACAATATCTCTTTCAAGTGTCCATACAGCCCCCACCACAAACCAGAACCTTGATTTTTGGGGAGTGTTAAGGTATTTTATACAAAAATTTTAGAGCAAGGACATTGTTTGCTTCCACACACTTAATAATTACCAAAACTCTTATCTTTACATTAAGTGTTACAAAATGCCCTCTCGTGTGCTGATATCTCCATCACACTCTGTTCTGTCCAAAACAAACATCTCTTTTCTTTCTTTTTTTTTTTTTTTTACATCTCTCTTTTCTATTCCTTTTACCTAGTGATGCAGGAAGCCTGGAAGGCTCACAGAAAATTTCAGAAATTCTTTCTTTAAATGTAGATTAAATAGTCTTGCCTTCAACAACAGGGGCCTTTCAAATGTAAGTGGTTCATATATGGAATTTATTTCCTGGGCTGATCGTGTGTGTGTTATCTACATATCTACAATGATCATTCCTTGAGGTAATCTGAACTGGAGCCCAAATCCCCTGGAGTCCAACTCCTAGGACTCCCTTGTGGGAAAGAGCTCTACAGGGCCCTCTAGAGCCCATAACATCATAAAATATTGACTGAAAGTCATGCTAAGACCAGGTAGGACTAGCAGAAGTGAAGCCACGGGGGTTCCATGGCTCAGATTAACTTGGAATCCCTATCCTCTTCTTCCCTGGACTGTTCTGCAATCTTTCTTCTTTGCACAAACTTAACTTGCTGTTCATGTCACAAAGAACACTACTCTCAACTGGATAGCAGCACATACACAAATCCACTCAGACCTTTTAGGATGTGCCCTTTAGAAGAAATGACTTCAACAAATGGTTCCCTTTAAGAGCCAGCCCCAGAGGTAGAGCTACGGCGGATATCTGACTTTGGGCCAGTAGACACTACAGTTTAGTGAATGTTCTCTTCCTTCTTGAAGTCAGAGCAATGGTGCTCCAGCTCCCTACTTTCTGAGTAGGGGCCCCTGCCTTCCAGAACATTCATCGCTTTCCCCTGCAACAACCATGCTGTTGGGCCACAGGTGAGGAGAGGATGAGGAGCAGTGTGGGAGGGAGAGAGAGAAAGCATCTAGCTAGGTGCCCTACATCAAATGCCACTGCTCTGGGTCCATATCACAGCTTACAACCCAAAGGCCTTCAATATGCATGAAGAATGCAGTTACTCATGTCTCAACGTCTTCTACCTCGCCAAATAACCCAAGTAGAATTTGTAATTTCCAAAGTGAAGATATTTCCAACTGATTTAATAATCCTGAGATGTTATCAGCTGCCATGGATTTTTAAGGGGATAATTATGTGACTACTTGTGTGCTGTCTTTTTCTTCCACCTGTGGTAAACGGAAGGAAGACAGGGCAGGTTATGGTCTGGGTGCCAATTTTGGCCCTGCCCTCCTTTGCTGAGCAGCCTTCTTGTGGATGCCAATTAATTTCAACTCTCAGAGCCTCAGTTTCTTCATTTGCAAAAGAGGTATAAATAATAACTGCCCTCTTAACCTTACAAAGATTAGATAAATATATCTTAGAAACGTCATTGTAAAAGTTTCAGAGGAAAATATAGTGATAAAACATTCAAGTACAGTACTAAACCTGTTTTAAAATTTTCTTCAATGTTTAGAAAAACATTCTTAAAATAACTCAAAATGTTGTCTATTTTGCCATATATGGCTTTTTTGGCCTATTTTGAGTCAATTTTTATTTATTGATTGAGTCAATTTTTAGTATTAATTATATTTTTTAGCATGATGGCAAAGTTAGCCATAAACTATTATGAAATCTGTGTTAAACAAAAATTCCACGACTAAAGTCTGTTTTAAAAGAAAGGGTTAATATTGAGCCATATGCTATCCAGAAGGTTCTGGGGCATGAAGTCTAAACCACCAGCAGCATGGCCAGATGGAAAAGACAGCATGCCTTTTGACCTGGAGTTGCAGGCTCTTTCATATCTTGTTTTGGAAAGGAACGATGTAAGTTGTTTTGAAAGAATTTACATTGGCTACAGATAAGGTGGGAAGGAAAAGGTGAAGCAGAGGCAGCTTTACGGTGAGTGCACAGTTTGTAAGGGAGAAATATTTACTATTGACTGGCTACAGGCCACAGTCCTGAAAGTTCATGCATATGCAGGATGCTATGGCATCTAGTGGTCAGTTAATAGATGCCAGAAGATTGATTCAAAGCTCCCACATATGTTCAGGAATGTGAGCAATTCTTGTTAGTTGCCCCACAGCTATTAACTGCTTAACTCTTCCTGTTCCTTTCTTACTCTCCAGCTGCTGTAATTTAGAACATCTCAGAATTTTTCTTTGGTCATTCCGTTTATAATGTGGGATTTTTTAAAAAGAATGTGGAATAAAGTGATCCAAATACCTATTTATAAGGCAGAGATGATATACTAGGAGTTTGATTTCACACATAAAGGCAATTAGCTTCGTTGAGCCAGTAGGTTTACTACTTTTCGGGATTACTGTTTCACAACAGCAAGTTGTATCCGGGTCATCTGGTTGTAAGTAGAAAGTGAATCATAACCCCTGTGACAGTCAATCACAGGACAGTTTGTGTGCCTTTTCACCTGGCCTGTTTGTGCCCTGAACAGGATCCCCAGGGCTTTGAGCTGAGAACTTCATCAGGTTCCTGCTAGAGTCTAATTAATCATCAAATCAGCTCATTGCCATGCTGATCCAGTAATGCAGGTCCCTAAAGTCATTAGGGCAGCAGAGAGAAGGAAATGGCCTAATCTCCCAGGATTAGAGGGGAGAAGTTCCTAAAATCTAATGAGTTCCTGCTAAAGTGGGGCATGCTCCAGGAATTATGATTTTTCTCTTTCCCTGTAATACCCCTTTCAAAAAGCTACCCAGAAAACAAAAGGGCCTATTGCATTGCCCAGCAGTGTTCAGGCATTTAAGGCTTCCTTCTCAGTGTAAGCAATTCACGCTTGCACAGAGCTATATATGTAGGCTTAGACCCCCCCGGCTGGTTGGAAAGTGAAACAGCAGCCAACTACCTGCCCTTCCTGCCTATCTACTATGAAACTGGGTGGTAGTTTTGTTTTGTTTTTTTTTAAATGCATTTACCAGTTATTTTGGTTTACAGCAAAACCTTTTGTTCTGGGAGAGCTGTGGTTTGCAGTTTGGTTCATATTTGAATCAACAGTCACTGTCAAGGGGAGTGAGTTTGATAATTGCTCCAGTTTGTTTGTTTTCCTGACTGCTCTGAAATATTTAGCTATCTACATGATACCATAATAACTTCTTGAAAGTGAAAAGATCTTTCAGTGGAGCAAGTGATTGCTTGCATCACAGCAGCTTGGTTTTCTGTTATTGTTGTTACTAGAGGCCCGATGCACGAAATTCATGTAAGAGTAGGCCTTCCTACCCCCGGCTGCCGGCACCAGGCTTCCCTCTGTCACCCGAGACTCAGGCTTCCCTCCGGCCGCTAGCAGGCACCGGAGACCCTGGCTTCCCTCACAGCCCTGGCTTCGTCAGGAAGGTCGTCTGGTCTAATTAGCATATTATGCTTTTATTATTATAGATCATCAAGATGACTGGCTGTTTTTGTGTAAACACATGCTATATATCCTTTTCTGAGTTGCCCCACAAATGAACTCCCTAGCTGGGAGACAGCATGCTATAAGTGGTTAAATAATAAACTTGGAAGCCAGACAAATCTAACTTTATTAAAAGCAGTGAAATCTTAGAATGGCCAATAATATCTCTGAGCTTTGGTTTTCTCATCTATAAATTGGGCATGATAATATCTGCCTTGAGGTGTTGTTGCAGGATTGTTAGGAGATTATTTTAAGTGTTTACTCTGGGCCAGTCAGTCAGTGCTTCCGAACTTTTAATGCACATACAGATCCTGTTAAACTGTTGACATGATTCAGTAGGTCTGGGGTGAAGCCAGAGAGTCTTCACTGTCAATAAGCTTCCATGCTGCTGGTCCACAGGTCACAACTTTGAGTTGCAAGGGTCTAGGTATCAAGTGCAAAGTGCCTAGCACAGTTAGTACTTAATACATGTCACCCGAAAATAATTTACTCACTTAAAAATTACTAAAAAGATGCTCTAGCGCCAGTTTGGCTCTGTGGATAGAGTG